ATTTAATTTTGACTTAAATTTTTATGTAGACGTAAAGCAAATTGGCCACAATAATTTTGTTGTCGTCTAGCCGCGATCATCGTCAAAACGTATGTGCTTAAATTTGTCGGCTTCTGTAAAATAGCTACGTAGAAGCCGTAGGACAAACTCATCAGTTGTGTGTGTGTACTTTCAGACTTAGTCTCAAGTTTCCTAACGACACATATCAGAGTGCAGAGCATTATACCTTCGGTCAACTAATAAAAGACTGAAATATCCTATTTTCACTTTGTTAACCACAAGAAACTCCGACACCGGAGATGCAGGTTAAAGCCCAAATCGATCTAACAGTACTAGAGCATGTTTCTAAAATAATACAACTTGTATTTATCATCGCAAATCTTGTCTCCACAAATCCGCAGAACAAATTTCGGTAAAATAGGTGCGTAAATCCCGTAGAACAAAGTCGCCAGTTGTATGTGGTATGGCAACGCAGTAGGTACTGAATAAGTCAAAGCCTCCTAGTAATACACAATAGAGAACAGTGTATTATAGTTTGGTCAACATAAAAAGGGCTGTAACACCCCATTTCCTACATTGTAAACAACAACAATTAAAAATGGAGATTTATTAAATGGATCGTGCATATACGAAGTGTATCGAAAGTATCTAAGAAAGCTACATGCATCATCGGAAATTGTTGTCATGAAAATCCGGCGAAACAAATTTCAAAGTCCACATGCCAAAGGATCCGTTTTGGCAAAAGCCATGCGCGCGAATTTAACGCTTTCAGTTATTGCCCATCTTGTCCATGTAGGCAGGAAAGAAATGTCTTGCTTTCGTAAGCCATGGATTAAGATTTCACTCAGGCTTGGTAAAAGAAGTTTTCTCACCCGAACAATTGTCATGCCGTGAAACTTGTGTTCAGAAGTAACAATGGCATCTGCGTGGACGTTATTTATATGGTACTCGTACTCCTTCTGCTTGTTATGTAGAACGCTGGGATTTGAGTTTGCGCCCACGTTCTAGACAAAAAATGCCACTATCAAATTGCGTATTTTACATTAAATCTTTGCAGCATTTGAAGCACATACCTTCGAGGAGAACTTGATATATATCGAAGGAAATAGAAGACAACACCTAAACACAGAAAATCCCTTTGCTGCATGAGAGCTATGTATCGAACAGCTATGGACGATTGATTGATTCTGAAGTTTCATTTCAAAAGTCATAAGTAACACTGTTGCGAAGGGTGCTTCATAATTGAACGAGTCCATGGAATTCAGAAGATTGCTGACTATTTGATTAAGGCCGCCATCCGAGTCTGAGTAGCATGCGTTTATTCGCCCTATGTGACTGGCAAGTGCGGCTTGTAGAATGATATCGTTTATACCTAAGCATATCCAAGATATTAAATTTAACTTGAGTTCAATAATGACAGCTTCTTATCGTAAACTTTCGTAAATAGTTATGCGCTGCATCAAATATAAAATAGAAGGCCAGTTTACCAGAGGTTGTCGAAGGTCTTTTTCCTGTGTTGCATGCAAGGCTGGCAATCGTCAGAAATGCAATGGGCAGTTGAATGTGTCTGAAAAATCGCAATTTTCGGCAGATATGACATTGAAAAGTTTGAGACAATCGCATTTTAGGCTAAATGCAAACGCTTTACGGAGCATGCATTGACGCCTGCAGTATTTATAGCAGTGTGCTATTCTAGCCCATTGGTCTGCGCTAGCCACTGTCCACGCTTTTCTGCCTCTGATCTTAAAGATGCAAGCGGTTTTCATCGTAAATATAAAAGTAAAACAACACAATAAAAAAGCTTAGGAACTCAGACTCTCATTGATTTCAGAGGAGATAGGAATCAGTACAAGTTCTAAGAGACCGTTTTATTTTAAAATCTAATTTACGACTTAGAGGTTGAAAGTTCCGGCATATTAAACGTTAATCAGTTGGGCCAAACGTTGTCCGAGCTTTCTCATGCTTGGTTTTCTCTACTTTCTGCAGGATCCTAAAAGGAAGCCTCGGTCCTAGCGATACGCCAATAAGTTTCGTTACACTAACTTTACCAGTTTGTTTACAGACCTGATATCCAGGAACGATTTCGACAAGGTGTGTTTATGTAACCCTACCTCATGTACACAATACTGGTGGGGTTTGGGGTTGAAGGTTATGGTGAGGGGCTAGAGTTAGGGATTCAGTTTAGGGTTGGGGTTAGATATAGGGTTAGATGTCAGAGTTCGAGGTTAGGGTTGGATTAGGCTTAGGGGTATGGGCAACTATTTCTCACGCATTCAAAGTACATCTGCATATTCCCAACGGCTTCTATTTTGCATACAAATACTTGACCCCGTCGACTATGCGTTTCTCGGCACCACCAATGTACCCCCTATTACCACATTTCCCGTATTACAGGTATCTGGGATTTGTTTATCTCAAGCGGGGCTACATAACCACACTTAACCTAAAATGTGATCGGACAGATCTTCCAGCTCTGGACAGCGGTAGAATAGGAAAACAAACGACCGTCATATGGGTCCATGTAATGTATATAAAGCGCTGCCTGCTCGTTTTCAAATATCGCAAACCTTTCCTCAGTTGACAGTTAAATGGCACCTGGATACCGCATAATCTAATGTTTTTACCGCTCATTTATATTTTCTGACGTTGGATTTTCATAAATTCTTGACACGCAGAGGAATACAATCTTTACTTCTCACAGAATCCTCTCGTTTTTTTACGATAAGAATTTGGGATTCTCTGCTCCGTCACCGTTCACGAAATATTTGTTTAATATTCGTTTTGTAATGCTAGTCGGTAGGAAACATTCTCCGCACTATAAGCAACGGCAGATGCCTTTGTCCAAAAGACGATAAGGAAAACATCTACAGGGAAACGTGCATCAGAAGGAAGCGCAATGGAACTCTATCATACAAAAGACGGAGATATTAATGTTTGACTGCAACCTGTATACAAGAAAGCGCCTAGTATCAAGTGGGGCACAAACAACATCCTTAGATCCCTGTTAGGGTCTGCCAGGATCAACAGACAATGGCCCTCGTAGTCGGGTATGAGCTAGCAGTTCTCTAACACCAGGCTCCCTGCAGGTAGATGCGTTTGCGCTCCCACTGGATAAGCAGGACGTGAGAATGGCTGCCCAGCCACACTCATCGTTTTCTGACCCGTTGTGGTGTTGTTGTAGGTTAAAAACTCAGTCAACTCTTTTTTGTAAACCAGGAGGATGTTAAGCAGAACGCCTAGATGCAGGTCTAGTCGCGCAATTCGCCTGTGTCCACCGGTCTCTTCGTTCTTCTCAACTATGTCTTGAGATCGCGTTGGAAGGAGGACTGAGTGCGACAGATGCTGTGCAAGTCCACACACGCTACAAAGTCACTTGATTTGCCCATGGAAATTATCAGCCTACATCCCAGCGACTGCGAAGTCCCTTGTTGTCATGATAATCTATTCTCTGTTGTTTACAGGCGGCCAAAGAAATAGGCAATTTCCCTTTTTAAAGTTTATCAAAGGTTAAAGATCAAAAGTTTCATCAATTTTAAGCAAAAACGTCCTCAATCGCCTATGGCCTGAATACCTAATAATGAATGCCGGGAGAGAAAAATAGATTGTATGAAACTGCTCAACCGCTTAAGAATAGTTTAAGTCTATGTTTCGGTTTCTTTAAATGCAGGGAATTGTGTAACTAATGGTAATACGGGACTCTGGTATGTGGATATAGGGGAAGCGATAATAGGAAAGGCACTGACAAGCAAACATGTGAGTTCCAGGAACTAGTTGACCAGAAGAAGAAGAAGCGATCACTGGAACAAGCCCTTGTTCCAGCGATCGCTTCTTCTTCTGATCAAGTCGTTCCTGGAACTCGCATCTTCGCCTTTATCGGCAATTTCTTTGGGCGCTACCACTCCCATCAGCCCTACGATCGGAATTTTTTGCCCTTTGAGAGGCCTCTACTAATGCGCTGATCCGGTTTCTGCACAGGTGTTTCGATAGCAACGTGTTGCCGAAGTGCGTTTCATACAAATCCCCGGTAAACACGGAGCTAGCGAGACGCGCAATATTTCAGCACAAAAGACCTATGATCCACGTGCTCCTTCAAGATTGCCATGCGAGGCTTCGCAAATATCGTCAGCGAATTGAACAAGAGAAGGCCAGATGCTGCGAGTTTATGGGCGAGAACGGCACAAATCTGCTTCAGCAGAAGGTGACTGAACGAGCCCGTGAGCAGAGAGCGACATGCGATGCAACGCTAGGGAACAAATTCCAAAAACTGCCTGATCCAACGTCATCCAGAGGCGGCACACTGGTACACAACCTGTCGGCAAAGGAATTGACGAAAGAGCAAGTACAGGTTTTACGGCACGAAGCCTTATTCAACACAACTGACGCCAAACCTGTCAACATGAGCGGAATCGGTTATTAATCAGCAGCAGTGGAATCGGTCATTAATCAGACGGAAGCGGCGGAGGAGACGAAGAACCTTATCCGACACCAAGTGTCCTCCATACTTATGACTCAAAAGCCGCGCGAAATACTTCCAAATGTCAAACGCGATGTACAAAGAGAACTCAAGGCCGACAAGGACATCGTCATTGTGTCCGCGGACAAGGGGCGTTCCACCGTCGTACTGGACAGAACAGACTACCTTCAGAAGGCCAAAAACCTACTGGAGGATCGCCAGTTCTATGTCCCATGTGAAACCAACCCCTTAAAGACGCGGACACGCGAAATTAATGCAACACTGTTGGCACTGGAGAACTCGGGTGCAATAACACCGACTGACCGACGCATGGCGAGAGCCCAAAGAGCGACCTTGACCCGATTCTATGGTCTTCCCAAGGTGCACAAGGAGGGCGCTCCTCTCCGGCCAATTGTATCGCTCAAAGGCACTCCAACGTACGGACTGGCGAAATGGATGTTTCGGCGCCTCAAATTTCTGACCGTTGATTCGGATTCCACCGTCTGTTCGTCAACACAATTCCTGAAGAAGCTTAAAGGATCAAGTCTCTTGCCCAAATGAGGTCATGGTATCTTTTGATGTCACGACCCTCTTCACTTCTATCCCCCAGGATCTGACAACCGAGACCGTCGAGGTACTCCTACGGAGCAAATACAACGAAACGGCGAATTGTCTCGGACATGCCCAAGTCCTTCAGCTCCTAAAGTCGTGTCTAAGTACGTACTTCAAGTTTGATGGAACAATCTACGAGTAAGTGATGGGAACACCAATGGGCTCAGCGATTTCGGGATTCATCGCCGAGGCGGTGCTACCGCGGTTGGAGTCGCTGGTCTTCCAACAACACAGACCGAAATTCTGGGCTCCGTATGTGGACGATACCGTCGTCGTCATCGAACCGGATCAGGTGCTGACGTTCAAAGAGCACCTTAACAGCCTTTTCCCGAACGTACAATTTAGGATGCAGGAGGAAGAAAATAACCGGCTGGCATTAATTTATGTCCTCGTCTGTCGCAAAGATTTTGGTGGCCTAAAGACCAAAGTGTTCAGACCAGCAAAGAACACGACGCAAATACTGAGCTTCAAAAGTGACCACCCAAGTAGCCACAAACGCAGTTGCGTAAGAACGCTATATCGACGTGCTAAGACGCACTTCAGTGAATCGAAAGACAAGATTACCGAATCCCAACACCTTCGACGGGTTTTCTGAGAAAATGGTTACCCGCGCAACCTCGTCAACCGATGTATGCGCAAACGACACAAAAAACAGAACCGTGCCGATCCCAAATTCTGGCGGGCGATCCCGTACATCAAGAGCGTCTCCGAGGCCGTCTGTATGTACGACTGTATGTAAATGCATTACTGGCAATGCGCACAGTTTTACATTTTTGAAGATTATTCATTGGAAAAACCACATCCGAGCTGAGTATTAGCGCTGAAAGTGCAATTAACTTATAGCTAATTCTTGCGAAAGCACACTTCCCACTGTCTTTTTTCTTACCGAGTGTTTAAATTATGGCGCAAATTTTATGAATGCACATTGCGGGAGACGTTTGGGTATGAAGCATGCCATCATGAATTTTTCTTGCGTTGTCTTTTCAGCTCTACGGTTAGCATTTAAAGAACGGTTTTTTTCAAAACTGGCTGATCGTTAAAAGCGTTTTTTGGGATTAACATTAAATTATTCCCTCTTTTAATTGTTCCAGAAACATACTTTGTTACAATTTTCTAGATGTCTTTTGAATTCACCCTTCCTCTAAAGGATTTAACCATAACATAGTCAGTAAAATTGGGTATTTTTTTTATGCGGACTTCGCACATTTTCCAAAAACTTGATTTAAACGACGTTCCTTTTATTTCTCGGAATAATTTTCAGCAACCACAACATATCCCACCTTCCGTATGCATTGGTGCTATAAATTTGCCTTTCATTTTTCTCGTTCAGTTAACTGCTATTTTGTCACAGTCAAATTAACTTTGATGTTTTAAAACCGCAAGTTTATTGAGTTAACGAGCTTTTGAGGATGCTCCGAAGGCTAAATAGTATGATGAACCCCCAACTGACGTCCTCTTTTTATATTTTTCAGTCGGCTGGCATTTATTTTAAAGCATTATTAAAAGTATCTCTGGTACAAATATGTTGATTGCAATTTGTGAAAAAAAGGCGTATGAAGGGGTTTTTGCGCTGAAAACACTCTTAACTTTGAGTCTGCTTTATTTGGATGTCATTTACAAATACGCCTTTCGATCTCCCATAATGCGCCAATATCTTTCGCTGAAGGCGGCGTCGGTAAATTGACCCGTCAAGATCCAGTATTTAGCAAATATGCTGGTTGCAACTTCTGATGTAAATGGCGTATGAAGGGTCGTTGCGCTGAAAATACTCTCTAATTTGAGTTTACTTTATTTGAAGACCGTCGGAGGATTTCACTCAAAAATGTGCTTTTTGATCTACCATGGTGCACAAATGTCTTTTGGTAAAGATCCACATTTAGTCCACCACGCGCTCCAATTCTCTTGTCTTGACTGGCATCATGTTATGATTCCGTGAATTTCTTTCAGAGACGCTGCAACCGCGATTGCTTTTTAATTAAGTATTTAGGATATAATTAATTTATTAGACATCTCTTTTTCTATCTTGATATTTCTGTTGTTAAAATTTCAGCCTCATTCTTTTGTAATTTTCTTTCTCCCTAGTGTTCTCTGTACACTTACTACTATCTCATGTTTTTCACTATGTGATATTTGGGAGGTCTAGGTTGATAAATGTTCAGAGTACATGAGCATGGCTTGAACAAGAGTCTGCTATTCAACAGACCATATTCTCATCACTGCATTGCGGTTTAACGCCATGTTTTCCGAAATGTAGAATTTTGAAACTTAAATTGTTTTATTTGTACGAGTATGGACCGGTGCTCTTGGGTTAACCTCAACTTCACTTACGGGTCTTATGTGTCGTGTTAACCGAAGTTTGTGAACAATCCATTTTTTGTCTAACAGTTTGTGAATTAAATGTAGCTGGATAGTCCGTGGGTGCTAATTTACCTCCCGATCAGTTACAGACTGCACTGTGCACTTTCGTTATGAGGAAGACTGATATTCTGTTTGGGCCATGACGCTGCATTTGCTCTTTAATTAATTGGAACATTTCAGTAAGAGCCACGAAATTTGATGAAGTCTGAATTCGGAATTTTGAATCGCGCTGCTTTCTTGAATCCTGTTTACGCCCTTCACATATTTAATGTTTTGTTAGTTTTTTCTCATATGAGCGTTGTTCATGTGTATAGTGGTTCATTTATATCACCTCTCTCATGGTGTTTCGATTAAATAAATATAATTATTGATGCTTTTTGCACGCTAAATGGACAAAGTTATGGTTCCTCTTTTTGCCACACAGAAAGACGAACATACGTTCATAAAGACTATTTTAGCAAGTGGATAAATATTATTTTCGTGAATTTATGCCTATCCTTTCTGTTCTTTGTAATTTCGTAGTTTGCCTATTGGGAGTACTTACGCAACAGAAGCCTAAATTTTCCTTTATCTAATGAGTCATCATCTGATGTCATTTACAGTTTGCTTGGCACTTAGACTCGTTTGGCGGAATTTTCTTTACTTTAGTTGTGTCGAAATGATCTGCTTAGACAATGAAATGCCATGTTTATTCGGAATGACTGGAAAACGTGTTCATATTTTGATAAATATGTCAATAGCTGACAACATGAATGCATGCAGTCATTACCCGAACAGTATTTAGTCATTTATGTCGGACATCTGTGCTTAACGTGTAAATATATCTATTGACCGTCATCTAAACATAGGCATGTTTCATATGGATCCGCGTGGACTATAAAGCAAATTCATGGCTTTGACTGAATAAACATGGTTAATGCAAATTATTTCAGCAATCTAAGTAATTGCTGCATATCAATTCCTTAAGTATTTAATGGGTTTGGAGGAATTGTTGCTTCAACATCAATGCTGAAACATTTACAATCAAAACCGTTAGGTGCGCACTCGCCTTCAGTAGTTCATTAATTGATTAACAAACAGTTTCTATGTACCAAAGTCTTTTACCCGGTTTGTCATTTTGTAGCAATTCAGTCATGAGCATACTCGAAGTGTACACGTAGGTGGCCTATTCCCTCAAGTCCAAAGTGCATTGGGTTCTAGTATTAATTCGTAATCAGTGAGACGACATTTTAGCGGATGTTGGTTGGAAATTATTGGTTCTCAATTGAACAGGAATTTAAATAAGTTGTATGAGCATGATATGCCATTTAAGTGTAAAGTTGGACATGTATGGCTCCTAATTATGCCGACGATCTGGTTTTTATGGAAAACGATGCAAGGCTTAGCATAAAAGTTTAGGGGCATCCCCGTTACTACCGATGACTATTTCACATCCTTGGGTTTAAATTCAGTTGACGTCTTCGATGGTAAGGAATGAAATTAATGATCGACGGACGGGATACTGTGTAACACTTGGGTCAGATGCTCTCAACCACGTTCGAGGACCTAGCTGAACGTTGGCAAGTACCTTACAGTTTCCTCATTTATAAACGAAGTGGATAAGGCGAAAAATGACGCTGAATTTGAGAGCCTTAGTATGGTATAAAAGCTGGCAAGTCATGCCTGTAAACACAGGAAATGCGATCAATATTTCTAATGAATGTTAATTGCATCCAGATGCAATACAAGAACTTATAAGACATAGACGCAGTACTTTCCCTTCACGTTACAGTAAAACGACGAAACACCTGCATATTTTTTGAATGCTAAAGCAGCCTACTGTAGTGACGTGAGGGATAGCGTCTAATGCGTAATATCCGGCCGTATGTTTAAAGATCCCGTCACTCAAAATCGATGACATTTCCCCATTGAAAATTCTTAATATGAATTTAATTAAAAGACGGAGGCTTTCGCTTGATTTTGCTTAAGCGTCGTACGGACAAAAGCCTCAGCATGTTCACATGTTGACAGGCAGTTAAGAGAACACAAGATTTGAGTAGAAATGTCAACTTCGATCGTAAGCGCATCATTTTTCATATATTAAGATGAGAGTTTTTCTGTCAAATTTATTTGCAATTTTTTCAACTGGTAAAGTACAATGAGTGACCGATCTCATGAAATGTTGGCTGAAAGTCTGAAATGCGCTTTTGATTGGGAAGTATTACTTGGACGCGGTTGTAATACTCATTATCTTAAGGCATACTCTTATAAAATTTCGGGCTCGGCATGGCATAATACCTGGCCGTTTACCACTGCTTCTCATGAAATGTACAACATGGCCCGCATCCATTCCAAAATTCTATGGACTCTGTGTGATAGCTCTTTAAGGGCATATAAAAATATATGATTTTCTTTATGCGGAACGCATGCACCTTGTAGAGTAAAATCCCTAAGCGCTAATGCAACGAATGATCAGGCTCCAAATTATTCGGCAATTAGAAAACTTTTTTAAAATCAAATTATACTTCTTCCTTTAGTATAAAAGATAAAGTAGACGTGATTCTCTATTGACTGACTAAAAGAAAGCATATTTTTGTTTATGATTTCTATAT